TATCTCCTTTTCCAATTTCTTATTTACTTCCATTTTATTTTATTTTTTAAAAATATTATTTAAGTTAATTTGTTTCGTAACCATAATTAATTCATTTATACTTTTATTTAGTTTCTTACGTTATTTCATTTTTCTCAATCTTTTATTTTATTTGTGGTTTCTTTTCACTTATAATTTTGTTACTTATCAAAATTTCAAATATTTATCAATCCTTAATTTTACGGTTTCCATCTCCTTATGATTTCCAAATAAGTTAGGGTCATTTATCATAGGTCCATGTTCTGTTCTTCATCAACGAATCATGTCAGTATCTGTTCACACACAAATTCAAGAATACACATACATAGGCTTTCAAAATCCTAATCCAAGTTAGAATAAGGAAATACTTACCAAAGTCCCTCTCTAATACCCTAAATTAAATTTTAATGTAATTTAAGATTTATTTATAAATATAATTTCTTAATTTTTTAATTTTAATTTAGAGTAAAAATGAAGTGAAATTGATGGGGGGTTAAATTGAAAATAATTATTGGAAAAAAGGATGAAAATTTGGGTTCTGAGAGTATTTTTGAAAGAAAAATCAAAAACCGGAGGTCAAAATACAATTTAGAGAAGTTTTACCACGTAGGATGCCAGGTCAGTAACCCCGACGAATCAGGATGTGTCGTGTTGCAGTGGACATTGATGCGGTGCCATATGGGAGGCCACGCAGGCGATCTGCGTGTCCGCGATCGAACAACTCAAATCTGTTCCCGCGTGCACGGATTGCCTGAATGCATTCCCTTCCCAAATGCGATCGGACAGTCAGATTTAAATGTGATCAGACGGTTTAGATTGGATCGCAATGAATAGTTCAGATTAGATTGTGATGAACGGTCCAGATTCACTCTCTGTTTAATTACGATCGGACGGTCCAGATCAAATGCGATGGACGGTCCAGATTAACTGCAGACAGACATAAATAACCCCCATTCGCACCAAATCCTAACTCTAGCAGTCATACCCCCTCGCCGGAGAAGAAGACCCAACCGCCGGGAAGGAGACCGCCGCCACTTGTTATCGCACTGGAGCCCTTTCTGACTGTCAAAATGGGTAAAAATTTTCTCCTTCGCTCAGAATTCAATTTTAAACACATCTATGGCCAAATCAGAGCAAAAGGATCGGCCGATTGGTCGAAAAACGTGGGCAAAGACTGGCGGCACTGCCGCATAGAATTTCACAAAATGCATTTGATAAGGCCCTTCCCGGTTCCCGTTCTGCGTAATTTTTCTACCATTGTGATCACCGTTTCTTTTTCTACAGGTTGACTAGAACAAAACACTCAACTGCAACGTGAGCCAGAGGAGCCGCCGCACCGGAGAGCCCCGTCGCCGGTGAGTTTTGATTTTTTATATTTTTTCGGACAACCGAGATCCCTTAACGTGTTTTTTCACAAGGATTGATGTAAAATTGGCCGAAAATAATCGACTTGAGGCGGACCGCCGACCCGGGCAGCGGCACCGTCACCAGAGCACGGCGGAACTAGCGTGCCAGAATTGGCCAAAGTGGACCCTGAGACTGATTTTTGGTTTTTTTGGGACATTTGTAGGTACTTATAGTGCGTTTTGATTTCCGAAAAAAAATTCAGAGAACCGAGAAACCGCCTGTAGGCGCAGTAAATAGCTTAGTTTTTCGGACATCAAATTGTGTAAGAATCCCTCACCATATTCTCTATCATAGAATTGAAGTCTAATTAATAATAAGTATAGTATTTTGTTACAATTTAGAAAATGTGCACAATTAATTACGGATTGTTAATGGAGCCAGAACCAAAAATTATCTACTGTTGTTTTGTTGAATGTTTTTACAGTTTAAATGTATGATAATACCTTATTAACTGATTTTATGGCTTTGAATACATGTATGATTTATTTTATGTATTTACGGCTGAATTGGAAAAAAATAAAGGTTAAAGGAAAACAAAAAATTGTGTGATTAAGTGAATGGATGAAACAACAGCCTTACTGGATATCCTGAGAGATGGTGGACGGACCGGGCACATAGGGAACCCTACCGTGAATGTTGTCTCATACCGGACGGGGTATCGAGACTTGGTAATTTAGCACTCATACCGAACGAGATATAGGGACGACCCGCTTCACACTTATATCAGATTGGGTATTGAGGTTTAGTAATTTGACGCTCATAACAGATGGGGTATGAGGATAACCCGTAATTGAGAATGTTAGAGAAAAGGGTTCATGTATAACGGAGATATCTCTATGAACCCCCATGGATACCAACAGGCTGATAAAAAGAGTGACAGTTGTTGTTTGATTTATTAAATATGGATATGGATTTATAATATGTGCTATGTTACCGATTATATATGAAATTATAATTTATATAATATTATTGTTTCTATGGGTTGTTTTTATAAATCTCACTACTGTAAGTGCATGGTAAATAGTTTTATTATTGATAAATAAATTTGCTAAATTTAGTGCTCCATTAGTTGTTTTTGATTTTCTATCAACCTTTATTTCTGTGTCGGTGATATAATGTGATATCTTTACAGGAGTAGTGTAGGTCATCCCTTATTTGACCATTTCAGATCAAGAGGATTAGGATCTAAAGCCCGATCCGCAAGAGAATTGCGAGCAGAATGCTAATTTTCTTTATTTTCCGTTCATTTCCTTATTTCTTTGTATTTCTTTCAAAAGGATAAATTTCGTAACACTAATTGGTACTTTAAGTTATTGTGTAAGGAATGTAAATTTTGAACATTTATTTCGCTTCCATACTTTAATTATCATTTATTTTTTTTGGATATTTGCGAGGTCGTTACACCCTCAACAGATTGTACTCCACTTGATCAACAGTCTAGAATCACCATACATAAATACATTTAAATTTAATTAATAGAAATAAATTAAACCTAAAAGAAACTACTAATAATGGTTGTTTTGGGTAAGTACTACAACAATCTGGTTCTTCGGTATTCGATGAACCACCACTTTAGCTCTTTGTGTAGGGTTGGACGATCTGATTTCCAAAATCTACACGTATACACATACATATGTATTAACACCTGTATTCACCAAACTCAATAACAAGGAAGGAAAAGGAAGGTTACCGAATTTGATTAGGTGCAGTGAAGGCCAAACAACTTCACTTTTCTCGATTTTCACTATGGGAGACAATTTTCGATTTTCCCCAAGAAGACCCTCACTCACCATGGCGAGGTGAGTGCTCTAGCTCCCGAAACCTACACACAAACACACATGAATACCTATTTTGTCGAGAACACACACTGAAAGAGGAAAAGGAACGCACTTGGTTCGAGTGGAGTGCTCTGAAAACCCGAACAACCTCGGGTTCTTAACTCATAGCTTTCGGAGGATGGTCTCCCTGGGTTTCCTGAGAGCACTCCTCGCTTACTTGGAAGATTTGATGATTGGTTTCACACCTACACGCCGGTTAGTGTAAAATAGAAAAATGAAATCTAAAAAAAAATAGAAAGGACGAAACTTATTGATTTTCAAACACTGACGTCGAGTGCAACACGGTGTTTCTCGGGCACGATTCCCTTTTCTTTCCTTCCCTTCGGCTTTTCGCCTCTGCGACACCTCCTCCTTTCCCTTTTCGGTTGCATTTCCTTCTCCCCTTATAATTTCTTTATTTATCTCTCTCTCGTGCTACGTTCTCTTCTCCTTATCGGCCCGACGACTCCTCAATCTCGGCCTCCTCTCTCACCCCATTAGCCCCTCTCTTCCTTTCTCATTTTAGTTTTCATTTACTTAATGAAGGAGAAAACCCTAATTGTTTCTTTAAATACCCATCTCCTTAGCCGTCTGATCTTGCAAGATTCAATATGGACTGTTTAATATGATGAAATTGTAAGTCGTTGGATCAGTTAGACGGTTCAATCAAGACTGTCTATTTCCTGATTTCTTTTTGTCTCATTTTGTTTTTATTTAATTATGTTTTCACCCTCTTTTTTTTCTATATATTTTTATCTAGGTCCTTAAAATTTATAAAAACTCCATAATTACTAAAATTTCCTTCATTTAAACCCTAAGTCCTAATTTAATTAACTTATATACACACCTTTTTATTTTTGGGAACCAGATATTACAAAATATGGTAGTTGAATTTGCGCCAACTAAATCTCGCATTAATCAAGTGCAAAATAAGCAAAATAAAGAACCTAAATCTCTTTATAAAATTTATCACAATCTTTTGATTCTTTTCAACAAACTCGTCAACCAAATTTACAAACTTTTTCGTATTAAATATCATGAAATACTTGTTTAATCTTGCACATTATTGAATTATTTATTTCTTTTTCCTACTTTGAAACTTAAAGACTGATCATAGATTAATCAATTATATTATAATTATTTTTGTTGACTTTAGTTCTTACGTGTTGGTCAAATAACAAGCACGACAAAAATACTCATTTTTTTGTGGCATTTGAGCTCCTTGAAAAAACAAAGTAATGAAGTACTAAAAAATCAAACTGGAACTTTACGTACTTTCATTTTATCATCAGTAGTTTAATTTATAAACATTCATCATCGTTTAATTTTATAAAAAAAAATATATGCATTTAAATCTCTATATTCATTCACAAGTTAACATTGATATGCGTCACATGAGACTAGGAGCAAATATATTCACTTGGAAATGCGTTCGAATACGTCTCGTAAAAATACCACATTATATTAATACGATTTAGTTTGTCAAGTTTTCGAGAGCTCACACAAAGCATTGACAATTAGCGGTCACGGATCGATATTCAACGTTTTATTAGATACTATGTTACCGTATTAATTAGATTTTCTACTTACTATAAACCATATTGAGACACTGTATTCACTAGATATTCTGTTACCGTAGTCAATGGATTTTATAGTTAATATTATTAAACTTTCACTCTGTGTTATAATGACCAAATTAGAACCGGCCATGCACTTCCTATAAATTAATTAACACTTCAGAAGCCACCGCCCAAAAAAAAGGGTAAAGCAGGACGTTCCCGCCAAAGAACGCCAGCAGTTATGCTTCTCGGGGGGATTTCCTCGTAGATTTCCCGCCAACTACGCACTATTTTCTCTACTCTGCCAATCAATGGCATCTCCTCCTTTTTCCTCTTTTACGCTATATTGTTTGCTAACAGTCGTACTCTCTTCTCTCGTCATCTTTTGAGAATCTCTGTCTCCATCTCTCTGTACTGTCTAATCTCTTTCTCTGTTGCAACCGGAGCACAGTGAATTCAAATGGCGTCGTCACGTCGTCAAAGCAATGGTAGATCGCCGCTGGTGAATCAGCAGCGTCAGATCACTGCCTTCTTCTCCAAAACCATGTCTCCGTCTCCTTCTCCTTCTACTATTCTTTCCAAACAGAAAAGCACCGAATCTACAGATAACACTAACCCTAGTCCGGGTCCACCTAGCCCGGGACCAAGCCCGACAACGCCATCGCCGCTCCAATCGAAGCCTAAGAAGCCTCTCCTAGTCATTGGCCAATCTTCCTCTCCTCATCCTTCGACGCCAGTCGCCAGATCATGTGGGGAAGAAGTGTTAGACGAGAGGATTAGGGTTTACTGGCCGTTGGATAAGAAATGGTACGAAGGTCGCGTGACATCGTATGACAAGACATCCCGGAAACATTCGGTTCTGTACGACGATGGCGAAGAGGAGTTGTGGAATTGGGAGAGGAGAAGATTGAGTGGATTCAAGGAGACAGTGAGAAGAAGTTCAAGCGGTTGCGGCGAGGTTCTTCCATGTTTAATAGGGTTGTGATTGAGGATGAGGAGATGGAAGATGTTCAAAAGGAAGAGGATAAGAGTGATGGCGATGATTCTAGCGACGAGGACTGGGGCAAAAATATGGAGAAGGAGGTCAGTGAGGATGCTGAAGAAGATGATGTTGTTTTGGAGGATGAGAAAGATGAAGACAACGAGGAAGAAGAAGCAGAAGAAATGCAGGAAATTTTAAAAGGAAAGTCCAGTGGGAAGATTAAATCTAGGAAGAGGAAGACAAGTAGAGGAGGGAAGCCTGAGTCGGGAAAGAAGAGTAAGAGTATTGGAGATGTGGGTAAAGGAAACTTTAAGGTTTCCGTTATTGAGCCTGTGAAGATTACTGAAAGTAAGTCATGCAGTATGTTTGGATACCAGTTTTTTCCATCAAGCGATTTAATCATTTAGAAAATTTAAGTCATGGCATCTATTATTTTTCTTCAATTTTGAGCTTGTGGATGGAGAGCATGGCAATTTGGATAGTGTCACTAATGGCCAGTATTTGAAATGTCTTTAATATATATACTTTACCGGAAATTAATTGAATATAAAAGATAATTCTGTTGGTAACAACTTCATTTCGGTTCGAGTTTCAAATTGGAAATTTGCATGAATTATGACATTTCTAACCTGGCTTCCTCTGGATTCTAGCTACAAACGCTTCTGCCCATTACTTTTCCTGCTTGTACTATAAATTCATTAATACCTCCCAGGAATAGCTGAAACTGAAAGTAACAATGTAACTTCAGATTATTGATGCTCAGCTTTAGCATATTTTACTGCAGGTGAGAAAACATTCAATAGTGATAATGTATTAACAGGTGAGGCCACAGACAAATTCAGCTGTCGTGAAGCAGAGAAGTTGCAGTTCCTGGGAGGGTAAGTTCTTGATCAATCTTTGTGGTTTATGGCCTAAAAGAGTGATGAAGCCAGAGTATGTTCTGCATAGCAACAGTCTTAAGTATCTTTGACTCAGTCTCTTGAAATTCCAGTTTCTTTATGTGTTTATCTAGCCATGGCTTCTTTGTGCTTTCATTTAGCCACACTGTCGCATAAGTAGCATGTCTGCACCTCTATTTGTTGCCTTTTCTGTGGAGGCCATTAATTAATTAATTGAATCTTACTTGCTATCACCTGTCCAATTCATTTCATGCGGAATTGCTTCGATCTTGAAACAGAGAGCGCAGGGATGCAAGAAGGAGGCGTCCTGGAGAGGATAATTATGATCCCAGGACTCTGTACCTGCCTCCTGATTTTGTTAAGGGTTTAACGGGTGGCCAGGTAATCACTATCAGTTTGAATGATTTAAAATTTACTTCCACCTTAATTTTCTTGAACTGATGGCCTTTTATGGTTAAATAGAGGCAATGGTGGGAGTTTAAGTCAAAGCATATGGATAAGGTTATTTTTTTCAAGGTATATATAAAATAGCATACATTATCATTTGAATTTTCATCCTGTTTGTAGCATTAACAAATAAGCCTTTCATTCTTCTTTTCATTTTCCTTGCAGTTCATGGGAAAGTTTTAGGAGTTTCCTGAAAGGGATGCACATGTGGGGGCTACATACCTGGAGCTGGGAACCAAGAAT